TGAGAAAAATCACATCATTTCAGCAGATGCACATACATAAGATCTGTATCCTAACAGATATTGATACAAATAAGTATTTGATAAAGTTCATCTTTAATTTATTTTATATATATACATACTTTTATTAAACTAGTATTTAAAAGGCACTCATTAAGTTGATAAAGTGTATCTTTTGAAATCCTATAAACAATAGCTTATGACATAATAGTGTGGAAATGTTAGAAGACCTGTTTTTAAACCTGGGAACAAGAAGAGATTCTCTGTTATTTTCCTATGATACTGTAACAAATTGCCACAAAATGGGTAGCTTAAAGCAACACAGACATTTTCTCTTACAGTTCTGAAGGCCAGAAATTCATAATCAGCATCAGTAGTCTAAAACCAAGGTGTGATCAGCATTCTATTTTTTCCAGAGAACTCACGGGAGAGTAATTCTAGAAATTACTCCGGAAACGCAGCTTCTAGAACTACATTTCTTGGCTCAGTGGCCCCTTCTTCTATCTTCAAAGACAGCAGCATATAATTTTCAAATATTTCTCCACTTCCATGATCACACAACCTAGATTCTGTGTCAAATCTCCCTTTCCATCACTCTTATAAGGACACTTATGGCATTTAGAGACCATCAAGATAATTCATGACAATAATCCATCACAAAATTCTTCACTTAATCACATCTGCAAGTCTCTTTGCCATAAAAGATTACATTTACAGGTACTAGGGATTAAGACCTGACATCTCTTGAGGCCATTATTCAGCCTAACACAGATGTCCTCCCTTGCTGCTTGTTTTACACATTGTACTTTTCTGAATACTTTTGAGAAAGTTTGCTCTAAAGAAGAAAATATAAGTAGTTCTAGATTTGTGAGACATGTAGACTGAGGAGAATTACTATTTTTCCTTCCTTCCTTTCTTTTCTTCCTTCCTTTTCTTCCTTTCTTCCTTTCTTTCCTTTTGAGACGGAATCTGGGAATCTGGCTCCGTCACCCAGGCTGGAGTGCAGCGGCGAAATCTCTGCTCCCTGCAAGCTCCGCCTCCCGGGTTCCCGCCATTCTCCTGCCTCAGCCTCCAGAGTAGCTAGGACTACAGGCGCCCGCACCACGCCCGGCTAATTTTTTGTATTTTTAGTAGAGACGGGGTTTCACCGTGTTAGCCAGGATGGTCTCGATCTCCTAACCTTGTGATCCGCCTGCCTGGGCCTCCCAAAGTGCTGGGATTACAGTCGTGAGCCACCGCACTCGACCGAGAATTACTGTTTTTCTAATGTGATATATAAAAGCACATTTATGTGACAATAGCAATAATAGAGAAGATAAATGAAAGTTATGCAGAAGGGAGAAGATTTGACAATAGCGACCATGAAAGTCCTGCAGGAGAAAAGTTTGGATGGGATACTGAATAAATTGCAATATTACTTTTTGATGCATATGTTCGCACCATTTTTTCACAATGCTTCTTAGATTGCTCTGTATTTCTTTCCCATCAGTATATATTAATTTTGACTGAAAATGATTGACTGGGATGAAAGAAAATGAAAAAGAAAACACAGAACAAGGAATTCTCAATTATATAAATATAATATTATATTTAGGAAACCATGAATAAAAGAAGGCATGTGGACCGGGTGCAGTGGCTCACGCCTGTAATCCCAACACCTTGGGAGGCCAAGGTAGGAAGATTAACAAGTCAGGAGATTGAGAGCATCCTGGCTAACACGGTGAAATCCTGTCTCTACTAAAAATACAAAAATATTAGCCGGGTGTGGTGGGTGTCTGTAGTCCCAGCTAAATTAGGAGGCTGAGACAGGAGAATGGCCTGAACTCAGGAGGCTGAGTTTGCAGTGAGCCAAGATTGCCTCACTGTACTCCAGCCTGGGCAATAAAGTGAGATTCTGTCTCAAAAAATAAAATAAAATAAATAATAATAATAATAATAAAATAAAATCAAAAAGAAGAAGGCATACTTTATAAAAAGGTATCCATATATCAGATAAGAAGCTGTAAAATTTATGTGCTGTCTACTTCTGGAATTTCCACCATACAGGAATAATCATGTTGTAGGAGTTCACTTAAAGGATAGAACTTGTACTTGGTTATTTATGTACGCAATCTCTGCCTAACTTGCTTTTGGTGGATCGTATTGTGTAGTTTCAATGTGGCCATTATTGTGTTTTATGAACACATGCAACAAAGTAATATATCTTTACATAATGTCTACATCTCTACTTTAATTTAAACCATAAAGGCTCAAAAATGCTAAATTACAAAATAGAGAAACGTGTGTTAAACACAGATTAATATAATTTAAATAATATTATATATGATAAAATTTTGTAAAACTTAACCATGAAGATGGATAGATGAGAAAGATAGAAACCTAGAATACTATACTAGAAAATCTGGAAACATAGTAGAGACGAGTTCAATCATTTGATTCTGTATAAGAGGTCATCAAACTACAAACCACAGAGCTAATCAGGCCACTGATTCATTTAGGTAAACAAAGTTTTATTAGAATAAAATGACATCCTTTCATTTTACTTATTGTCTACGGCTACTTATGCACTACAATGGCAAATATTGGTACTTGTGACAGAGATCACACAGCACATACATTCTAAAATACTTAATAGTTCGCCCTTCACAGAAAGGTTTTGAGAGCTACTGCTCTAGGAAATCTCAGGTTCAATGTCAATCATGAATCTTTGCAAAGCGTAGCCATGTTTGAAATCCTTTCCAATGACAATAATTGTTACTGCCTCTAGACAGAAGAGTTCAATTATTTTAAGGTTTCATTATTAGCAATGGTTCATTTAATTAAGCCATAGTTGTTACTTCAAGTATAATTAATTAGTGAAGGTATATTGCTTTTATGGGATATAATTGATAGGAAAATAGGTTACTGCTCTCTAGCATAGTTATAATTTAAATGCTGTGGCTTTATAGAATTTAAAGGTAGAGTCTATTTATTATTAATTATGCCTCCCATCATCTAGCTCATATGAGGTAGCTCTGGAATAGCACATTATTTATGTTTGCTTATAATTTATTTTAGATATAATGGTTGGTTAGAAGGAGTTCATGGTGCAGAAGGTAGAAGTCACAAAAACATTCCTGATTGTGATGGAGAACATGAATCCCTGTATTTATTCATTTAATAAATTATGTTGTCATTTAAGCAAATAAAAACAGTTTTTACTCTGAGAATTGATATAAAAATATGTTATATAATTAATCATATCCTTCTGAATAAAATGGATGAAAGCATAGTTTGCATTATAAGCATTAATTCATTAAAATTTACCCTGAACACTGTTATTCGGTTTTATTAGCAAGAAATATAGCACTCAGAATGGCATTAAATACATGTGAAGAACTCTAGATCATAAAGAACCTAAAATACAGAATTTTCAGCATTATTATGATTTATTTAATTGCACATTCAGGTTTATTTGTTATTGAAACTTAGTCACTTGATTTTGGGAGTTTTCCATAGCTTCTGTGTTTGCACAAGTTTGTTTATGGTAAAGTGCAAAGTATTTTAGTAAAAGGGATTTGAGCCACAGATGACAAATAATTACAGGAACACGTAACATAAACTACATTTGGACTTTAAAGCAGGTTTAGATTATATTACTTTTGTTATTAATCTTTGTTTCCAAAAGGGAATGATGGGTTATAGATATATGCCCAAATATTTAGGTGAAACACTACAAAAAAAAAGTGAAGATACCTTTTATCTGAGGGCCAAAGTAGAAAGTAGCACTCTTAAAATATACTCTGTTTTGTGTAATAAGTGAATGGAATCTTTGAACAATTTTTTGCTGGGTTTAATTGTTTAGGAAACTTTTCTAATTGGCAATTACTTCACAGAAAACTTGATCCAGACCTATATGTGGAACTTCCCTTTATATTAACTTGCTGAAATTATTAAAGTTAAAAGCCTGTTTTTCCAGGTTAGTATTCTCAAGACCTACAAAGAACAGTCACTCTGAAGCAATCAGTTGATTACCCTCATGATGCCTGCATATGTTTATTTCATGTCAGACACACCTGAGGTCTGTAATTTAATACATAAACAGTGCGACCATGGAAGAAACGAAGTTGGCTTGCGGTGTTCCTATGGCAGCATCAACACTGCTTCAAGTGCACCATGAGCATGAGCACTGCCAAGAAAATATATTGGCTCTCAACTCTCAGAATACTGCCATGCCTAGAACTTTAGGCCTTGCCAGTCACTGGACGGTAAGAGACGGTAACACATCACAGCAGATATTGTTTCCTTAGGCAATTGAATTACATCAGAAAAACTAAGCTGAGAGATAACAAAACAATTTTGAAATGTCAGGAGACTAAATCAATTCATTCATAAGTTACTAATTTCACATGTCCATGGTGTTGCTTATGATTCTACTCATGGGTCATTGTCACCTTTATACCAGGATCTAGGGGACAAAGCAGCGACTCCAGAACATTGAAACTCACTGTAGTCAAAGAAAAGAGAATGTTGTCAGGCACACTCTGAAATTTTGCCTCTAGAAGGAAACAGACACTTTAGTCTACTAACATTTCAATAAGCAAAAGGAAATCACATGCTATAAGTGAATTCAGCAGGGCAGTGAGCTATATCCTACCATGTGTATGAAGAACCCAAAATATACGTAAGCAATCCTAATGTTTATCACCTTATATTTATCCATGCATGCTATTGTGGTCACTTTCACTGTAAAAGTAGTCATTGCAGAATCATCACTAGGATCTCACTGTATTAGGGTAATTAATACTAGTTTCTGAATCAAACTGCAATTATCAGTGACTTAACACAATTTGTTTTTTCTTCTCATTCATATCACAGTTCATTAGAGGATTAACTTTCTGAAATTCCTTAAAAGTTTTCACTAAATTCTCTGCATTTAGTATAAAGAGGAGTATGAGAAGCATCGCATGAGGTATCTTATAGCTCGGTCTAAAAGTGGCAAATATAACTTCTACCTACATTTCATTCACAAGTGAAATGGTCTCATCCTACCTGCAATTGAGGCTGAAAAATGCAGCATTTCCGTATGGTCTGAAGAAGGAAATAATGTTATCATCTCACCAATCTCTGTCAAGGTCAGTCCTTCTGATGCCAAAGCATCCACTTTAATATTCCTCCCATTGTAAAACACACCGACTTCTCCTCTCAAAATGAAAAAATGCAGAGTTCTTTCAAGGTCTGGCATCCAGCTGAAAATTTAGTATCTCTGGCCACTCATAATTCTCCCTGTGAAGTCCAGACAAGGTCCTCATTTCTCAGTAAAATCTAAACTTAAAAGACTAAATATGTGTCCTGTGTACAAATATGCAATGGTGAAGTGGGAACAAGGTGGCAGCAATAAATACATCTCTATCACCACAGTCATTTGTTCTTGACTATTTGCAAATGATTTCAGGAAGACATGGTGAAGCATCCTTCACTGTGAGTGGCAGAAATCCTCTGATTAAGACCTTATTCTCCTCTCTGAGAGGAATTATCTTATCCCATGTGCACTGCAATCTCATTTCCTACCCTCTGGAGAAGTACATAAACTTTTCCTACATAAATAATGGCCACATTTTTGTATTGATACATTGTAAGTTCTAAGACGTGTATTTTTTTTTTTAAAGAGGAATTAAAATAGAAAAGCATATATCTAAAAGATGTTCCTCAGGATATATCTGCATATATTTTCTACTCTTGTCATTTTAAATAAAAATACAGTGGTCCCTTGATATCCTCAAGAGATTGGTTCCAGGACTCCAGAGGATACCAAAATCAGCACATATTCAAGTAACCTTGTGGAACCAGAGTATACAAAAAGTCAGTCCTCCATATCTGCGGGTTTTTCATCCTGTGAATACTGTATTTTGATCCACATTTCAATGCAGATGCAGATTTTTTTAATTAAAAACATTTCTATATAAGGAGATGCACACAGCTTAAGCTCATGTTCAAGTATCAACCACACTGATTTTTTAAATTTCTGTCCAATATAATTTAAATAACATAATTATGTGAACTGCATGTCATTAATTACATATACTAAGAGGTGGCATAACGATGTGTTTAAATTCCAAGAAATTATCGCTAGCTAATTTAATTCTCATCTCTTCTCTGCCACAGACAAGCTGTAAAGTCTTGAGCAAAATCACGAGTATCTGTCCCTAACTTACTCATCTTAAGAAGGACCCAGTAAGTAGCAATTATCTTTCAGTGTTCTTATGAAGAGTAAATAACCTATGCATATCAATGCTTAGAACAGAGACTACCATGCGGTATTGCGTCTGGAGTTGGTTCCTGCCGGTGGATTTGTAGTCTCGCTGACTTCAAGAATGGAGCCACAGACCTTCGCGGTGAGTGTTACAGATCTTAAAGATCGCATGGAGCCGAAGAGTGAGCAATAGCAACGTTTGTTGTGAGAGCAAAAGGACACAGCTCCCACAGCATGGAAGGGGACCTGAGCAGGTTGCTGCTGCTGACTGGGGGTGGCCAGCTTTTATTCCCTTATTGGCCCTGCCCATGTTCTGTTTTTGTCCTATCAGAGTGCCCTTTTTTTCAATCATTCCTGTGAGTGGCTACTTTTAAGATCCTGCTGATTGGTGTGTTTTACAGAGTGCCAGTTGGTGCATTTTACAATCCTCTGGCTAGCTACAGAGCGCTGATTGGTGTGTTTTATAATCCTCTTGCTAGAGAAAAAAGTTATCCAAGTCCCTGCTCCTCCTAGGAAGTCAAGCTGGCTTCACCTCTCAGTATATTCTGAATAAGTTTGCCTATTAAATATGTGATATGAATTAATCAAGCACAGAAAAAGTTACTAGTGACAAGGAAAAGGAGAAAATATGTGTTCAATATTATTTTGCAAACAATTTACAAATATGCCTCACCTGTGAGTTTCTTCTTAGTACCTCAGAAACTATAACACCATGGAAAATTTTGGATAGTTTAGGGAAGTGCTTTATTTGATAATGTGAAAAATAAGGTGATTGTGATAAAGCAACTTGGGAAAAAAGAAATGACATGAATCTTGAGGACACGTACTCTGAGAACTTTCATGTCTAGAAAAGAGCAAGCTAAAAATCTGGAAGCGTATTTGTTGAGAGGCAAGTTTCAATTGGTCTCATGTATTTCTGTGCATCTTACAAAGAGAGAGGCACTGGCTTCACATTTACTACAGGTTTTCCTTTTTAAAGATCTTTATATAGTGGATAGCCCTGGAAGATCAGGATATTGTTTATTTATGGATGAGAGAACAGATTTGCTTATTTTCAAGTAAAACGAAGATAGTGTTTTCCTCCACAGAAAACATCAGACAGGTATGCTTACTGCTCATTTATTAAAGATTTGTGTTGCCTTTACTTGGAGTTCTTCATCTGTGACACAAACTGTGTGTAGCATCAAGTTGAACTTCTTGGCATCATCTCCGGTAAACTTGAGGGAAAATAGGAACCAGAGCAAACGTGAAGCTCGTGCAACTCTGTGCTGTGCTGCAAATAATGGAAGTCTTTCTGTCTCTGACCAAAGAGTTACGAGTCTTCTGCCAACATCCATAAAACTGAAGCAGGCTAACGTGTAAGCTTAGATCCTTCACAGTTCTTGACAATAGTCCCTTAAAACTGTCTGCAGATGCACATTCCTTGGAAAAATTTTATGCATCCTTTTAAGAATAATTAATGTTCTAGTTAATGACAACTGTATGACAGGATAGATCACTTCAAGCTTCTTCCCAGATTACTATAACTTTTAGGGAAATAATGTATATGCCATTTTTTCTAAGGTTATCTAGCCATTTTCAGTATGGAAAACAATATTATGTAAGATAAACTGAGCACATTTTTCACTTCGTTTTTGTTTTTCAAAACAATTTTATTGCTTTTGTTAATGCCTCAGTCATCAATACTGCTTGGCATAAGAGCCAAGTTTGAAGAATTATCATGTTGCAAATGTATTTTGCTCATTTATTTCAAATTAGTAGACAGAATTGAGAGGTGGAAAATTATAGAAAAATCTCAGTTGATCATACTTGGAATTTGGTTATGTAATATGGGGAATACAAAGGTTGATATACTAGTGATAATATTCACTCTTGGAACCATTAGATGCTATCATGACATTAGCACAGAAGACAAATTCATAATGTTGCAGTGAGGTAAGGAAATAAAACATGTAAGTCTTTGAAAACCACACTATGTGAGCCCTTGCAGGCTGAAAATCAGACGCTAAAGTATTTTTTTGTTCCTTTTGGAGAATAAGAGAAGCGTGCTCCTCAATGTCTTGTTGAGAAAAATATATAGTTTGATACACTTGTCAATATTGCTAACTCAAAAATGATGAGTATAAGGAGTGACCCTTATTGTAGTCTTATATTTCCCTCCAGCAATTAACAGAGTTGGTGGGGCTATTTTTATCCATGAGTTCACCCCGGGTCCCAGGTGATTTTCATCTTGTTTCTCTTCATAATCCTATCTTAGTGTTTCCTTCTCATGGCTAAGTTCAGCAATACTTCTGCATTCCAGCCAGGGGAAATGCGTAAGAAGAGATGAAAAACAATCAGCTTTGTCTTTATGGAGATTAACTTAAATTTATGCTCATAATAAAATTCATGTTATACTTCATCAAAATTAATCACTGGTAAGACTATAGAAGGTAATCTCTTGCTTGTGGTCATATGTGCTTAGGATTCTACTACTAAACAAAATGAAAGACTGCATTATAAAGACAATTAGTGGTCTCTAGTACAAATAAATTACCAGGTAATTTCCAATTCTCAATATTGAAAAAAAAAAAAAAGTTTATTTCCTACTGCACTATCAAATTGGAAAGGTCAATACAGGTATTCAATAATAGTAAAAATATGAATAACAATCATATGTATCACAATAGAATCATTTTAAAAGATGTATATTTAAAACATGATTTTGCATTATATTTCCCCTGGCAGAAAATAATAAATTGGAGAAAAATCACATTTGATTGTTGTCAGTTACATGGATGTTTAAAATTTGTACCACTGAACACTTTTTAAAGATAAACTAATTGATGCCTATGGAAGATAAATCAATCTTTAGTTATTTTGGTAAATTTATTTTACAGTTTCATTCCTTTTCAACTTAAGCTAGGTAAGAGGTACTATATTCTCTCCTGATGTAAATGTTTATGATCATTGAAACTCCATCTGGAGAAAATAAGGACACTTTTAATTTAAATCACATTTGAAGAAGGTAATGTATAAATTTATTCAAAACTGTTTTTTAAGTGAAAATGGGAAGGTCCTATTTAAAAAGAAAAAAGAAATACTTTGCAATGACCTTTCTATAATGTTAGCAAATTTATTATGATCTGTTATGAATGACTGTTTTGCCTTCCGTGTTTCTACTGTCTCAACTCCCTAAGTACTAATTCAACTGAAAAGTAGCTTCAGGTATGGGTCCAATTTAATTTCCCTCTACAAGATCTGCAGTGCCATTAATTAGAATCATATAATCTTAGAGTCAAAAGGGTCCTTAGAGATTGTCTAATCCTATTCTATTAATGCATGAGGAAATGGGTGTAGCAATCTGTCTAAGGTTGCACAAATTCAAAAACACATAGAAATTTTTCATAATCAAATTAAATTAAAAGTATATAAAACAATTAATGTTACTAATTTATTTATGTATAAGAAAATATTAAATACCATTTTTATATGAAGTGGTTTTGATAATTTTAATGAGTTTATAACAATGCTTCTAAATATTTCAAAATTTTAGTTTATCAACCAAATATAATAATAGTACACACTTTTAAAAGTGACAAAGTCTTCTACAGTAAAAATTACTAATTATAGGAAAGGGAAAATCATAGATATATAGGGTTGTATCAAACTCTTAAAATGTACACGTGGAAATTTAAAAATATACTCTTGCTAAGGGGATGTTGATGTCATTCCATAACGGGATTGACATGTAATTAAAACAAACAGCAAAAATTACGAATTTATAAATAAAATTTTAAATGCCTGAATTTATTATTTATAATGAATATTGGAATTTATTTAGTGAGATAAAAGGTTAAGAAATTCTTGAATATAATTATACTACTTTTATAATAAAATGCATCCAAGCTAAAATCTCACTTCTGTTGTTAACTGCTTTGATGGTTCTAGACTCATTTTCCTATTTTTGGTGAGTCAGAAGAAGAATGATGCACATGACTCAAAATCAGGTTATTTTCATGGCTAAGGTTTATTATAGCAAAAACTACAGAGCAAAACCAGCAGTATTCATATTTTTAATGAATAGTTAAACTAATGATATCTTGTTATTCCCATGCTTTGTCTATCATACCTACACATAAATATAAGCACATTGAAGTTCTGTAAGTTCTGCTTCCAAACATAGCTTACATATGAATGCCGTAATCATTCAACATGCATACATTAGCCTTGAATTTTGAAGATTAAAAATTGTTTGTAAAACTATCTAGAACAAATGTATCATGATTACAGCCACTATTAGATTTCAAAAGGGTTCATCAGAAAGCTCTGAGGTATATAACGGGGAAAGAATATTTTGACTACCACTTTAACAGGTCTGCTATTTAATATTAGTCTCTTTTTAATTGATGTTTCATGGACATCCAGAATACTAGCTATAAAATCATATGTGTTGCATAATGCAAGCAAAACAAAAGCACCTATAAACATTACAGAAGACTATACATATATGTATATCATTGCCATAAAATACATATATAATATACGTATATACACACATAATTGTTTTCAAAACAATGATATTATTACTTACAAAAGTATGAAAATTTAGGGAGATGGCTAAATAAGTTATGGCTTGTTCATAAGTTGTAAGCCTATTCATTATAAAATATCACTGAGGATCAACTTTCATTTGTTTCGCAACAAATTATTGAGCATCTACTATGTATATTCTAGGCCCATTTCTAGGGACTGGGGAAAAAGCAGTGAAAATAACATTCGGAAGGTCTTGGCTTCATAGAGCTGTTGTTCCAGTGCTGGGAGAAAAACAATAATTAATACCACAAAATATCATGTGTTGTATGCCAGATGGTTTAAGTTCTATTCTAAAAAAAATATGGCAAAGAAGAGGAATAGAGAGTTCTGGGCACAAGAGGTGCTGGATGCTGAACAAGATGGCTGCTGAAAGCCTCACGGGGTGGTATAATTCGACTACAATGAATGGTTATAAGAGACAGAGACAAGAGCATAATTGAGAGAACACATTTTCAGGGAGCAGAAATAGCACATGAGGCCTTGGGGTATGAATGCACCCGTGACGTTCCACGGAGGATGCCAATGTGATAGAGCGGAGGAGATGAGGTTGCACTCCATGGGGAGATGGTCACATAAAGCTTCTTAGAAAATGGTAAGAACTGTTGTTTATTTAATTGGCAGCCAATGAAGGGTTTTAAACAGAAAAGCAATCGCCTCTTCAAAGAATTAGCAATAACAGTTTGACTGATTTGAGAAAATAGACTATAGCATAGCAAAAGAGAAAACAGGGAAATTAGTGAGGAAACTATGTGTAAACTATTCCTGAAGCTGTTCTAAAGTATAAACTATATAAATTATTAATTGAAATTTTTCTATACAAACAAGATATATTTGAACCCTATATATTAGTGGCAAAAGTCCATGATACTGCCAATATTTTGGCCTGAACTATTGGGGAAACAGAGTTGTAATTACTCACTTGGGTTTAAATTTGGGAGGAGCAAATTTGGGATTAAGGGATAGGAAAGATCAATAGTTTTATTTTCAACAGGCTTAATTTTAAATAGACAATCATAAAATATATTTTAAATAAATTATTAATCATAAAATAATGTCAGGGTATATTTTAATACTCACCTAAGATATCAATGATAAATAAAATGATAAGAAAATACA